TGTATATTTTTTTTTAATTTCAATCAAAATATGCCTTTTTATATTTAATGTACGAAAAGTACAAATAAAATATGTAAAGGCTTAAATTTTCTTACTGCGCGTAATTTATTAATCGCGAAGAATATTAATTAACAATCCTCAGTTCCATAGACTGGAGACTAATAGAGGCTCATGTTTTGCACAGTTCAAAATTGTGGATGCTGGGAAATGAATAGCTCGCGGCTGTCTCCGTTCAAGTAGTAATTAACCGTCACAATATGTTTGGAACACGAATAATGAATTCACTAATTCTTTGCTAAGGAATTTGCATAACGCGAAAACTGGTCTCCTCAATCATGCTTTCACCTGTTAATTCAAACGATACGAGAGAATGCACTATATTTAGAACGTATCATTTTTTTACTAAGGATATATAGCCAAGACGATCTTAAATTATAATAAAAAAAAACCTTTGTACTATACAATACCTTTGCATTACAATACATATGACGAATCGATAAGAATTATCAATCTGAAATAGATATTTATTAATGTATGTAAAGTGTAATTTATCAAGCACGTGCATACTTATTTTTAATTTATTTGTTTAATAAAATGGTTGATTCATGTAGATGTATCTGAAACAGCGATATTGTTTTACGAGTGTTGATAAATCGAATCTTTAAGAACAATTTGAGCAACAAACGTAATGTGTTAATTTAATTTGAAGTGTTATCTAAGGAATACGAAGTTCAATGGTTCTCCAATTATTATCCATTCGTAGAAAGGTTTTATTAGATTTTTGCTCAGTTAAGAATTCCCTCGTTAATGAATGGAAAATCTCGACCAAACAGTTGGATTGACTACTTTTAACAAGGAAAGTTTTATTAAGTTGAATTACAGAAATACACTTCGTGGAAATTCTTTTCCTCGCATTGTATTCTTTCCAAATGGATGAACTGTGCGCAGGAAAATGATGTTAGCAATATGTTTAAATCAATTTTTTACCTATCACGACGTGAATTAACATTTGTCGTGAAACGTCACTACGTTTAAATGCAAAGGAAGAAAAGAAATAGAGAATACGATGACATTCTACGATTGTGAAATTAAAAATTCCACGTAGTCACTATACATCATATAAAATCATGTCAGAAAGATCTCAGCACGAGTGCAAAATACTTGACCCAAAAAAATTTAACACAGTGTTATCACAGTTAGAACGTGTCACGTCATAATATACGCATTTTACACGCGTACATATCGCGTCACGGAATATCTATTTGGATCTTAAACGAAGGTAAGGAAGTTCTACAAAAGGAGACAAAACGTAGTTTCTGCTTGTTGGCCACGAATGTGGTCGGAAGGACCGGTAGTGCGAGCGGGGTCGTTCAATTAGACGTGATCTGAATAAGAGAATCGTTCAATTGAACGCGATCGACTCTTGTTATCTCTCTTTCTAGTTGGCCCGTAACAATGCCATTGGATTCTTGAACGACGCTGATTTAGTATGGCCATATCGCGAGTAAAGTATCTTTTCTTTCTCTTTCTTCACTCTTTGCTGATATTTTAGGCCCGTACAATCGATTCGCGACCACGTGGTGAATCTGCATAACGCAGATCAACGTAGTCACGTTGCATGGAAAGTTACGCTTGCGAACTTCTAGTCTCGAGCTTTTGTTTATTGATAAATTAATTGTGCTTTAATAACAATCTGACAAAGAATATCGAAGTCCAGCGGGAAATTAATAGTTTGTTAAAAATAGAATCGTTAGGAACAATAGAGTATAAACAAGTTCTGTTGAAATAGAAGTAATCATTCTTCAATGACTCATCTTCCTGAACAAACTCCTGTTTCTCCCAACAGTCGACGTACGAAATACGAGACAAGAAATCAGATTAGATTGTCTTTTTCGGGGATTTTTTGTTGGAGGAGTGAAACGAAGTGAAAGTAGAGTGAACGAAGCTAATAAAGAATTTAGGAGTGAGTCGGCCGGTATTTCCACGAGTCCGGTGATTCCCCAAACGCTATTTGACTAACGGTACAAACCGTTCACCGAATGTTTTTCAATTGCCAATGAAAGGTGCTTTCTTGAAACTTAATGACGTAACGTTTGAAGAAACAACGTTGCACAACTATTCGCGGAATAAGGCACATTTTGTTCGCCATCGCAACGAGTCAATTTCCAATGTTATTAATTGGATAATAGGTTGCAACAATACTTGGTGTCTATGTAGATGGAACAGGTATGCGTTAAGATAACTGCACACCCGCTTCATTCACAGTGCCGACAACGCGAGGATCTAATTGTTACAGGTAATGGTATTTTTGATTACGTATGCCGCTTCTACGTTGCTGAATTATCGTTGGAAACGAAAATTTTATTGAACCTTATCATAGTAGATTTTCCGATGCTGTCAGATTTTTATAACTTTCACTAAACTTTACATTTATCCTGTAAGAAACGCATATTTCGTTGATTAATTACTCAATAATCAATTACGTCCCGATAATGTACAGTTACTTATAAA